TATAGTATATTCTGCTTCCCAAACGCCATCCAACAGTATCAATGCGCGAGAAACCAGCAGAATAGCATGTGGGACTATTTCTTCTCTAGTTGCCTTGACCTAAAGACTCAGACGATGCATACCGTTGTCTACAGGGCGAGCGTCTCATAATCGCTTATCAATACATGATAGAAATTTGGCTCTCAGAGTCATTACGTGGACAGCGTATCTTCTCCACATTCTTCGTCAGGAGGTCGTATAGCCTGGTATAGTAGTTTCTAGAGTCACAGAGTGTCGCGCGCAGCCGGAGGAAGGTGATTTCATCCAACTCTCTGATGGATCTCTTATAGTCGCAGATTTGGCTCCACTTGAGCGTCTTGCTCACCAGCTTGGCTCTCAGCATTGTGTAGTCGATGAAGAAGTCGAGCATTGCACTCGCCTCTGCTTCTATCTTATGAGCTTCCATCAACACCTCTTCTTGAACAGACACACCGAAATTGTTACCGTCTTCAATCTTTGGAATGTTTAGTTGAATCCACATGCATACTGTTTGAGTATCCTCTATAAGCTGGACGATAATGGGCCGAAGGAGTCGGTAGACATGATCTATCGCTGAGTTGATCCCCAGTTGCTTCTTATTTGCTTCCCCTTCGACTGGAAGTGATTCCTTAAACTCATCGCAGAGTTTATCCACTTGCGTCTGGACTAGTTCCATGCCTCCTTTTAGGCCAAATTCTTGGACTCGTGTCAGATCATCTAGTTCACGTATCCTCTTTGGAAAAGAGTCCCGTAGGCGATATTCGGCTTCCCGCGTGAAGTGCTCCTTCATCGCATCCACCTGTTGGCTCGACATTCCGTTGACTGATGTTCACTTCAAGCTGGTCAGCTGGTGATCGATATTTTATGTAAAATTGACGATCGATAGAACACTGCCCGAGCGCAATTATCTCAATCCGAGACTGGGCTTCGTTTACTTGTGGTTTCCCCTTTTTATCCTGTCAAATAAAATGCATTCCAATTTGTGCTTGTCTTAACTGGTTTGACAGTAATACCGATTGAGCAGTTCTTGTTGACTCGATTTGGATTCGCCGACGAGACAAAATAGGGTTGATTCAAGGATGGGGTCTGCCGTTTCATGCGGTTGAAAGTAAACTCA